GTGCACCATCAAACGACGCAGGAATGTACGCTTGAATGGATTTTTTGATGAATTGACCCTTTCGCCGAATAAAATCGCTGCCATGGATCGGAAACCAATTAATTAATTTAGCTTTATTTAGGAGGCTTTCAGCCTTAGGCTGGTTCGCCTCCGACTGGATCGGAAACCAGCTAATCTCTGCTAACTGGTAGTTTGGTAGTTTGCTGTCGGTACTGATCCAAAATTCCGATCGTCACCTATTGGTACCGGTTCAGTCGGACGTGCTGGTTCTTCTCAAGAAGTAAATTTAGCTGAAATTGACTTCCCTTGGATCGTTAGAATCACTTGAATTTGTCATCCTACTTCGTCTATCCTTCGAGATTTCCTTGTCATAAATTTTGGTTTAATTCACTATGAGAATCCATATCTTTGAAAGTCAATTAGTAAACACAGTAATTGTGGATTTTATAATACATTTTAAAACGACTAAAAAGCATTAACATATGCCTTTTGCTCTCATTTAAAACCCAATGATTTTATGGTTGCTTTTATAATGATAGAACACTTTGATATGGTATTTGATCAAGACATTAATAAACAATTGCTGATGAAGTTTATTATTGAATTACAGAACAGTTTTATGGAGGGATCGAAAACTGCTTTGAATTTATTTTCAAAACTAGGCAATCGTCAACCTTCTCGCCAGACTATAAAAGGTTTTTGAAACAACGAAAAGCTGAATTACTTAACAGCAATAGTTTACACTTTGAAATGCTGTATTTAAACTAAATGGATTGTTCATTACCATTATAAAACCAACATAAATTAAAGTGGATGCCAAATGGTTGCTGAATTGTTACTTGGGCATTGTCTTCCCTAGAATCTCTTCCTTTCATGCATTTTGTCTTCGATGCATTTATGACAAGTCCAATCCGGCTAGCTTCATCCTTCAGTCTGATGTACGTTTCTGCCATCGTCTCAAAGTTCCGTGCCATGATGTCGATGTCATCGGCGAAGCCAAGAAGCTGGATGGACTTCCTGAAGATCGTACCACTCGTGTCTATCCCAGCTCTTCTGATCACACAGTTTATCCGGAAATCCGTACTCGTGCATAATCTGCCATAGTTGATCTCGATCGATTGTGTCGTATGCGGTTTTTAAATCGATGAACAAATGATGTGTGCGCACGTTGCATTTGCGGCATTTCTGGAGAACCTGCCGAATCGCGAAAATTTGTTTCGTGGTAGCGCGGGCACCCATGAATCCCGCCTGGTATTGCCCCACGTACTCTCTTGCAAATGGTGACAGGCGGCGGCATAGAATTTGGGAGAGTACCTTTTAGGCGGCGCTCAGTAGTGTGATCGCGCGTACAGCATTTATACTTGTATCGGCCCAGTAACCATGGATTTCACTTCTTTTTTCTTCCGGGACGGCTCTCTTGCGGACCAAGTATAGATCGTTTCCTTGTGCTATCCTCCTTGCAGCGATGCAGATTTTCTGCAGTCGCCTTTTTGTCCTCTGTTTTGTTTTCATAAAAAACACACAGAAAAAAAAATCACCCAACTTGAAATGGGCATCAATTCGGCATTACAGAAAGCTTACAAGCAACGAAATTTCTCTGACTTCTAAGTCTTAAGAACTTGTAGTATATTTGATTATAGGGCCGCTTGACAGCATTTCAAAATATAATTCTCTGTGGCAACTGTCATTCTGTCGATTTGCTTGTAAATCGGATCATTGCTGATGTGTGGTTTTTGGGTATTACGCATCCTGAATTGAAGTTAATATACAGTTTATTATTGCTTATGGTTAGTTGGGAATAGATACTAATGCAAAAATTGTACAGATTTAGAAAGCTTTCAACTAACAACTGTGGAAGTGCTTAATGAACACTCAGTTGAGAGCACACAATAAGCTGATATGAGATAAGCAATAAGCTTGAAATGTGAAAAATAAGAAGAAGGAGAAGAAGAAGAGTGAGATGATTGAACGTTCTATGTAAACAAGATCATAAAATTGTAGATTTTTAGTAACATAATTTGCGGCGTTCCTGTCTGTTAGCATGAAAACTATACTTTACTATAAGAGCTCGGATTTTAGATTCTGGCTGCCCCTAGTAGCCACGAAGGTCGCTAATAGCCCGATAAGGACCCTTATTGAAATATAAGGTTCCAAGTTTTACATCAACCCAATATCAGCTTCATACTGCTTATCGGGCTTGTTGGTTACTTGGGGCGCCCTTTGTATTGTATATGGTTGTTCGCCTTATTTGAACTATGATTTGAATTTATTCAAGAATATTTCTATACAAACCAACGCAATTCTCCATTTTGTTTGCCTTAATGGCTGATGACATCGTTTCAAACCCTCCACTAAAAATACGTGAGAAACGCAACTGTCCACGCTAGCAAATAGAAAACCGAACAACTAGACACATACAGCGGAAACGCCACGTACAGCATTGCAGCCAAAGCGAACAGAGGCAAAAAGGCAATAAACCAACGGATCCACTCCCACCGTCAACGACGACGACAACAGCCACAGCGTCACCGTTCGAGCTCCGATATTGGCTCAAATTCAGTTATGTTTCTCCCACACACATGTGTGAACCCCGCCGACCGAGCGAACAAACACGCCTCACATATGCACGCTCATATGGAGGGAACAACCTCACATGACAAGCCGACGGACGACACGAGAGCGAAAAAAGAAGGCCGGTACGGATGCGACGAAAGCGACGAAAGCAACGGCATCACATACGACCTCACCCTCTCGGAAATCCGACGGATCTGTAGATTGCATGTTGCCAATTTCGCTAATCCTGGGACCCTTTTTCACCCTCGCACCCTATAGAAGCACATTTGCGACGAGTGAAGTGAAGGGATTCATTTACCACTTCCTTCCCCCCTCGCATAAAGAACCTACCTCCCAAGCCAGTGTGCGTTGCTTAGGAATTAGAAATTTAGGATTCGCCTTGTATGTAGCTACCTACCTAGGTATATCCTGAGCAGCGATTTAATTATGCGCATGTCCTTTGCTCGAGTTTTTTGGTGTACCGACGGCTGGGAAAGGATACAGTCAGTGGTACCGATAGAGAGCCGAGCCGGAATGGGGTGTCATACAGTATGTGGAAGCATTGGGTCACTCACCTGCGGAGCTCACGATCGTGAGCGATTCGCTAGTGTAGCTGAGCGAGAGAGCGACAGCAGGTGAGCGTTCACTGGAAAGTGAGTTTCTCGCGCGTGTTTGCTCTCTTTTGGTCGGGGGAGCTTTTCTTGCCTCTCGCTGAGTGCGCTCAGTGCGAGTGGAAAACGGGGTGATGTTTTTGTTTTTTCGCTTATGCTCGCTCATTCGGTGGGTGTTATGTACGATGAGCTTGGTTGTGTGAGAATGCGCCGCTGTGAAGGGATTGTGATGTGTGTGCGCGAAAGCTCATGTATCGTGAGAGAGCGAACGGTGCGCGAGTGTGAGTGAGTGTGGGGTAAGGACTCACATGATTTCAGGCAGCAGGTCCCGTTGTCGGTTGCGGTTCTGTGCCATGCGGGGGAGTGTGTGAGCATAAGAATAAATTGTAAGAATCAAAAATTCAACAACTCTTATTATTTTCCGATGCGGGAGCGAGGAGCCGGAGAGCGAGTGAACGAGTGCAGGTGGGAATTGTGTTGCTTTGCTTCTCGCTTGCTCGACGGTGGATGTCGGGCTCACTCACTCACTCACTCCAGACAGCAGAGCCTGTTTGGCACGGCAGCGGCGACGGCGGCTTGTGTATGATTTCCGAATGTGTTTTGCGATATATGTTTGAGAGACTCCGGCCGTCGCGCTACAACTTTTCAGTCGGTCTCAGGCAGTCACGGCGTAAAGCTCAAAATGTGCGGTTCGATAGTTGAAATTTGCTTTATTTAGAGTTTTTTGGACACCCAATACACATTACACTACCAATTGAAAGAGTTGCAATTCGGACACCTACAGAGCGATTGTGAGTGAGCGAGTGCTGCGGGCGAACAGGTGAAGACAAGTGAATTAAGTTCGTTTTTGCCAGAAAAGAACCAACTCCGTTGATCGGATCGGTTCGAATGCAGTTCAACCGGAGAAATTCGCGACCAAAACAGAAAATCCTGCCGCGAAGATACTCGTCGTAGTTGAATGCACTACCGTAAGCGAAAAAAACGTAAATTTTTAAAACCTTTGGGCTAACGCAAAAAAAAAGAAGAATTTTGTTTTAAACTGTGTTTCGGAATCTTGAAAAATTGTGCAATTTTAGTTACGTTCTTCCTCGAATTCATGAGGCAGTGATTTAAGTTCTCCAAAACGGAAAATATCCATCAAGAAAAAAAAAACAACAAAATCTTGAAACCAGTGACAAAGTCTACACAAACGAACCACCATCGCCAAACCCAATCCAGAGATCCTGGGAATTCCTGCCAGCAAACAAAAGATCCGAGGTCGGGATTTTACGGTTGGAAATTCCTTCTTCTGCCTGAGGGGACCCATTCCCAGCCCTTCTCAACGTCTCACATGTGAACCGATGCATGATCTAATTTATTGCTGCAGCAGTCCCGGGTCGAGCAAAGTTCAAAGGACTCGTTCAACTCCGCTACCTACCTGGTGATACCGTGCAAGGGAAGGAGCCCTGAAATAACATAACCATCGACCGAGCCCAAACCCAACGAAGGGATCGTAAACGTACATTTATCACCAGTCTCATTCTTAAAGGTGGATGAAGGATGCCAGGAGGTCAATAAAGCATGAAGTTGCTTCTTCAGGTGATCGTCGTCGTCGTCGTCCTCATCAACGTAGGCCATGTCACCGAAGGAGTGCAACTGCTTGCACTATCGGGGCAAACAACGAGATGATCGATCGGAGCAGGCGGTGGTAGTGTGATTAGTAGTTCCCACATGCTTGGGTCCCATTTCGAACGTCGCTCAAAATTGTCACCTTTCGGCTGAAAAGAAAAAAAAAAAACAGAAAACAGAAAACAGAAACAATTTCGGAACATAAGAAAAATGGTGTTTATTTTTTATTGAGTGAATCAAAATTCAACCAAAATAATGGTAGTGAAATCGCTTCAGTAGAATCAAAACAACTTTCGGGATTTTTGGTAGTGCAAACGAGAAGCGAAGCAAAAAAGCTGAAATTATGTAAATTTACGTTTAGTGGCTCTAGGAAAAAAGAAAAAAAAGGAAGAAGCGGAAAAATTAAAAGGTAGAACAAAATTACAATTAACTCGATTTGTGCTTTGTGTTTGTTCTTTACTGTACGTAGAGAGTGAGATGTTTCGGAATTATAGCCGTAATGAACGATCTTCTCTGCGTTAGATGTCTAATCACTGGGAAATTTCGAAAATTGATGTGAAATTTTTCGTGTTTGTGTGTGTGTTCGTGGATTAGCAGCCAGCCAAGGAAGGAAAGAAGGGGAGAGAAGAAATCAAAATACACGTAAAGGATTTTAAAACACTTCGCGTTTAAGGAAGTGCTTAAGACAGGTATGTGATCTTTTGTTTTGTTTTATAAGTGGAGGAATTTTAGGTTGCATTGGTTTTTAAACATTAATTGGCTGGCATTCAATGACCAGTGTGCCGTTTTCAAGCCGTGAAATTTCGGACTAAGTTCAAATTGTGCCTGATGCGAAAACTTTATGTTGCAAGGATTGATAACCAGCTGCTATTTAACACTCCGAACACGATGCCTCCGGAAAAATGTGTATCGGCAAATTTGCAATGTTTGAAAACGCATTGCTCAGCAATTTATCGATAGGTTTTGAATCTATTGTTACCGACAAAAAATTCAAAGTCTGTTGTTTGAAATGGCGCCAATATATTTGAAATTTGTCAATCAATGGCTGAGCTATGATTTTTCAAACATTGCAAGTTTGGGGCCTCCCTTAACTCAGTCGGTAAAGGCGCAACTACAAAGCAAGACTATGCTGGAGGTAGCTGGTTTCATTTCCCTGTCTGGTCTAGGAATTTTTCGGGTTGGAAAACTTCTCGACTTCCCTGGGCATAGAAGTATGATTGGACTTGCCACACAATTATACTAATGCAAAAATGGTACAGGCATCGAAAGCTCTCAATTAATAACTGTGGAAGTGCATCTAGAACACTAAGTTGAGAGCACGCAATAAGCTTATATGCGATATGCAATAAGCTTGAAATGCGAAGAAGAAGAAGAAGTTTTCCGTTACACATTTTACCGGAGGCATCGTGTTCGGAAGGTTAAATCAAATTAATCTAAAATGAAAAGCGCTTAAATTATGATTGTTGTGATCAGTAATTTGTAGCCTTTGATCGATACATTTTATTTATTCCGCTTGCCTCTAGTTGCTATAATCAGAACAGCTTCAGTCTAATTCGAGCGGGAAATAATAATTATAGTCTATGTGAAATGTGAAAAATAGAAGGCCGCAATAAGATCACGTTACCTTTTGTTGTGTACAATTATCATGATATTTATAAAAGCCAGTGAATAGGCGTGTGACAGTTGAAATCTTCAAACCTTTAAATCAAAAAGATTTGTCCTTAACCGGAACGGACTTTACTCTAAGTATGTAGATTTTTTTCAGTGTGCAGTTGCCTCCTGTTATTTTTGGAAAATCATGATCGAGCGTGAACAAATTATCGATATAAACATGAACAAATGAATAATTTTGATGCCAATATGTGCTTAATTTTATTGAACTCTTAAGGCCTTAATTACTCAATGTAAACAAACTAGGCGTTAATATTAATTCTCATATATTTTATTCATGTTTTGTTGAATTATCCTATAAATTCAGTTCAATATGTTTTGCCAAAAACAAACATTGTATTAATTGTGTTTAAAGTTAAAAAAAAATCTTTTGATTTCCCTTTATGCATCCCAGAATAACTTGATTTTATCTGAGGTATCTGAAGTAAAGAACTTCAAACTTATCAAAATACAGCGCCTTTCTTGTCAAAAACAGAAAGGCGCTGTATTTTGATAAGTTCATGTGTTCTTGATTCTCTATTTTCAATAAAATCTACCAAGCCATTACCAGAAAGATTCTAAGAGATCATGACTGTATGGTGTATTTAAAATTATTCAAAAAGCAGTGGATCCAAACAGGGGCCTCAGTGTAGTCCTGCTTAGGGTTGTTTAACGGTAATTTAATTAATGTTCGTATTATGTGGTTTAAAGTAAGTGGAAGTGATAAAGATAAAGTATTCTTTCTCTTATTCGCGGACTGATTGTACGACGTTTCCCCGAAACTTAGTTCCCAGAAACTCAGTTCCCCCAAACTCAGTTCTTCGAAAGTTATTTCCCTGAATAGGACTTATTCTCAAAATAATATTCCCCGAAAAATGCATCACTTTACAATTTCAATAATTTATATCAAATCATATGTTATTTTCAAGATAATTGCAGTTAGTTAATTCTTGAGTAATAATTTTCGTAATTTCGCTTCAATTGAATAATTAAAGATATACACTGAATGTGGTTTAAATGATTAAAATCTGGCGATGCACGATGCTTCGTATTTGTTATCTTCCCATTATAATGCTACATTTCAAGGTGAACAAATTGCTAGTGAAAAACATAAAGAATTTGAAGATGTGTGGGTTAAAATTTTAATAAATGGTGAAGAACATCTTTTCGTTTCTGTCTAATTTCCTCCACACTTTTCCAAAAAACCAGCTTACGAAAAGTTTTTCACTATTTCAGAACTGAAAATTTAAAGAGAAGATTCAAGAACCAAAATTCATTTTTATGGAGATTTTAACCAGAATACTATTAATTTTATTCAGGATAGTGATAATGATTCTCTGCTGTTACCAATTGTAGGTGACAACTATACTTTGCAATTCATCTTTGATAAAAGCAGCCACTTGGGACTTCATCAAAGTAACCATGTTCGTAACCAGCTCAATTCCTATTTGGATCTTATGTTTACTAATTGTTCAGAAAATTTTTGTATTGTAGAAGCAGCAGTTCCATTATGGAAGAATGAAACATTTCATACGCCTATTGAATACTCAGTGTTCACAGACTCGCATCGGTCACGCCCAAGCGTTGTTGATTTTGAATTAGTTTATGATTTTAAAAATGCAATTGTTCCTGAATTTCACAGCAGACTGAATAACATAACGACATGGAAAAGACTGTTGACATATTTTATACTACCTTATTAAACATCATTGAAGTATTCGTTCCTAAAAGACTAAAGAGAATACTGAACAGCACCAAATATCCTGTGTGGTATACACAAGAAATCAGAAATATTAAAAACAAGAATCAAAAAGCACACAAGTCGTAAAAAAAAAAGTGTAAAACGTCACAAAATTTAGAGAAATACGTTGTTATTTGCAGAGAATTTGAGGCAGAAATATCGTCAGCATATGAGAATTAAAATTCAAAAGTAGATAACAATATAACTTCGTGAACGAAAAAATGAAGTCAAGTACATTCCCATCACGCATGCAGTTAGAAGAGATTGATAGCATTGATAGTGAGGATATTTGTAACCAATTTGCTCGCTTTTTCCAAAACATATATAAGAAATCCAGTAATGCTCTCGAATTGAACTATTTTTCTTACCTAACTGAAGGGGAAAATGACGCATCAGTTAATAATATCCCTGTTCAAGAAATTTTTATGACTCTTGAAAATCTCGATGCCGGCAAAGGACCTGGTCCTGATGAAATACCTCCATTTTTATTGAAAAAAATAGCAACAAGTTTTGTTAAACCATTGTTTTGGCTTTACAATTTATCTCTCAAAATAGGTGATTTTCCAAAAATTTGGAAAAAATCATTTTTAGTTCCAATTATTAAATCTGGCAAACGGTCAGATATTAAAAACTATAGAGTTATTGCAATTATGTCATACATTCCTAAAATGTTTGAAGCAATTGTTAACCAGAAAATATTCAACCAGGTTAAGTATCGCATTTCAAATAATCAACATGGTTTTTTAAAGGTTGGTCAACGACTACTAATCTGTTGGAATTTGTAAACTTTTCTATTGAAGCAATGGATAGAAGTAATACCGTTGAAACCTTATACACTGACTTTAGTAAGGCTTTTGGCAGAGTAGACATTTTTTTTCCTCTGTTCGGGACCTATCACTACTGCGACCAGTAAATTGATCAATTGTAGTATATCCTTAGTTTAGTGCATGTCGTATAACTCCATCACTATTGAGAAATGATGAAGTATCGCAAGGATCCGACTCTAATTGAAAGGTCCCACTATTTATACCCTTCGGAGTGTTGAAACACCCTCCAAAGGCGCGCCCCTTTGTCAGTCAAAATTGAATTCCTTAGCAACAAAATTAAGGTATGACACCGATAATGACCATGCATCAGAACCCTAGTCTTAACCACTTCAAACTAGGGAACAACGAAGAGAAGATTAGGAATCACATAGATGAAGACAACTAACTCATTTTTTGCCTTGTTTCAAGATCATCCTCGGTAGACAAAGCCGAGTCTTGTCACTATCAACAAGCCATAAAAAGTAGCAAGGACTAAGATGTGTTCCTTGGATTACTGAAAAATCCTGTTCCTCTAGTTTGAAGTAGTCAGGACTAGGAATCATTGGTAGATCTTACATCCCGTAACGTACCACGAAAAGGTGATCTACCCACGTTACGGGGCGACAGAGTAGACATTCCCTTACTTCTTTTTAAATTAAAACGTTTAGGTATGACAAGGTATAAGGTTTGTGTTGAATCGCTTAAATGTGCTCATATATGCTGACGATATGAAACTGTACATGGAAATCTTTAACAATTCTGATTTGCTACATTTAAAAAATGAAATTGAAGTTTTCTACAATTGGTGCGTTAAAAGTCTGCTGGATATTAATGTTAAAAAATGCAATATTATATCTTATTCCAGAAAACACACTACTCTAGATTTTACATGTACTCTAGGAAACCAGCTGGTTGTAAGGTGCGATAAAATTAGGGACATAGGAGTCATTCTTGATTCGAAGTTGACATTTGTAGATCATGTGAATACCACAATTCACAAAGCAAATAATATGTTAGGATTCATAAAAAAAGATTTAGTTATCATTTTAAAGACCCATATACCATCAAAACACTTTATATAGCTTACGTGAGATCAATTCTCGAATATTGCAGTGTGGTTACTCCATATCATGAAACTTATATAAATCGTATATAATCAGTTCAAAAACAGTTTTTGTTATTTGCTCTTAGGAAACAAGGCTGGACCACTTTTCCCCTTCCTTCTTATGAGTCCCGTTGCATGTTGATAAACATTGAAACACTTAAGAAACGAGGAGAAATTTCCATGATTTCCTTTGTTAATGATATTATCTCACAACGCGTAAATTCTGAAAAAAATATTAGCAATCTTAAATTTTTACGTACCATCACACATGTTAAGAACTCGAAATGTGTTTCAACTGTCACCTCACAGAACGAATTATGGTAAAAATGGCCCAATCAATAGAATGATGAGAGTGTATAATAATTATTGTGAGCGTATAGATCTAAC